TCTAACCAAGAAGGGAACCTTTTTCCTAAACTCAGTTTAGTTTAAGGTTTAGCTTAAACCAGTCTGTCACAAACGTCCACCATTAAGAGGGGAAATCATCTGATTATCAGAGACCATCTGCTGTTTCCTCAATAATATGCAAAAGGTCTGATTAATTTAGTCTAAAGGAAAACATCAAATCAAGATAAACAAGGATGAATTTCTAACAGAATGAGCTCCTGAGGCCCAGAGAGGTGCTGATCTGAGCAGAACAGAGGTTCTGTTTGGCTAAAATAAGAAATGATTTCAACCTTAGATCTTCTTAATACTGCAGATTTCACTCTTTTATTTCTTCTTCTCTAGCAGCAGAGCTGCTCAGTCGTGAACCTTCTCAGCTTTATGGCTCCACACAGGCTTGCGTTTCTCGATGAAGGCCCGGATCCCCTCCTGCCCATCCCGGAGAGCCAGGTTGTCCACCATCACCTTGGAGGCCGTAGCATACGCTGCGTCTCTGCCTTGAGCCATTTGTCTGTGAATAGAAGCAGCAGGAGAATAAACGGCGTTTTAGGCGCTGAGTGTTCACAGCAGACCAATGAGGAGAAGCTACCTGAGGAAGGTGGCCTTTCCAAGAGCCACGACGGGCCGACTGGACTGGCAGACCCGCTGGGCGATGGCCAGCGTCTCCTCCTCCAGCCGCTCCTCGGGAACCACCTTACTGATCAGGCCGTGCAGCAGAGCGTCATGGGCTGAGAGAGGAGTTCCCGTCAGCAGCATCTCCATGGCAACCTAGTAATATCAACAAACACCATTTTTAAAGTCATAGGGAAGCGGCTGTTCCAAATGTTGCATTTCCGAATTCTCCCGAGTGGTGCACGACTTTACACGAGTGAACAAAGTGAATGTGATTGGTCGTTTATCAAGGGGGCGGGATTGTTGTGGCGGAAGGTTCGCAAGCATGTTTAGTTGTGGCCAGTTTGTTGGAAGCAGTGTTGCCAACTCAGCGACTTTGTCGCTATATTTAGCGACTTTTCAGACCCCTCCAGCGACTATTTTTAAAAAAAAGTGACTAGCGACAAATCTGGCGACTTTTTACGGTGTCACAGGCGGCTTTTGGAGACTCTTACGTGAAAGCATGTAACGTTCCTACTCTTGTCCTCCAGCGGCAGCTGCTGCCGTGAGGCGCCTCCCCCATCCCAACCCCGTTCTCCCGCAAGAGTCCCTCAGCGCTGCAGTCAGAGCCGCAGGATGTTTACCCTCAGCGTCCAGACTGGTAATGAAGCGCGCATGCGCCGGGATTGACGGCGCAAATTGATCACAATAATTAAAATATATAAATAAGTAAATAAATAAATAAAAATTAATGGACAGAAAAAAGTAGCTCTATATATTGTTTAGTAAAGTGAGTAAAAACACCATTATATAGTGTTTTTACTCACTTTTTGTCTTTCTGTAACAACATTATTTCTCCCACAGTATCAATAACATGCACATCACTTCCTGTGGCAGATTATGCAAATTAGGCGATGATGTCATTTAGCGACTTTTAGCACAGCCAATTACTACTTTCCTTACTGAGGAGTTGGCAACACTGGTTGGAAGCATCTTGCTAACAAGTTAGCAACTTAGTGCTAGTAGGTTCCCAATGGGAAATTCCATTGGGAACCTACTAGCACTAAATTGGTGACTTAGAAACAACACTGTCTTATTTAAACCGTTGTGTATATTAGCTGCGACATATGAATCAAGATGCTATGACCGAAAACATATGATTGACAGATGACCGTTGATATATGATTGGCCGAATTTAGGTGTTCAGGATGACGTAGAACTAACTGGCCTGCAGAAGAAAATTAAGAAAAACACAGATTTCAGGACAGGATTTTTTTTTTTTTCTTCTTTAACTTTACTAATTTTAGTACATTTATATACATGTTTAAGCCAGAATGATTTGTTATTTAAACATGGTTTCCCTACGACTTTAAATATTCCCAGTCAGAACACATTGGAGTCTTCGGCTCTGACTTTAGGGCCGAATCCAGACGTGAAGAGGATCATTAGACAAAATACACTTGAAAAAGAAAATGCAATATTTTTTTCTTATTTTAAATGTAAATTATCTTGTTCCATTAACAAATTGTCTCAATTACCACCTAAATTCCAGAAAGAAATGCATTTATTTTAAGAAAAAAATGACTTATTTAGATTTAATTTCCTTTCCAGTGGGTTTGGACCAGGATGAAGGTGTGGGAAACTTTCCTTCCTTTACCTTCCTGGGCACCGCTCTGCCGATGGCCACCGCCGGCGTCGAGCAGAACAGGCCCACATTGACGCCAGGAGTGGCAAAGGTGGACTTCTCGGTCGCTACGGCGATGTCACAGCTGGCGACCAGCTGGCAGCCGGCTGCTGTGGCGACGCCGTTCACCATGGCGATCACTGGGACGGGGATGTCTTGTATCAGGGTCATCACCTGAAACACAGGAGCGGTTAGCGAAGCTACGATAGAAACCTGCTGAAAGCCGTCCGCTGCCGGCGCTCCCAGATCAGGAGACGGAGAAACGGACCAGGGATTAAAAAAAAAAGTTCAAAACAGACCTGAACCAGTGAGCAGCAGGGCTAAGAACCGGGTCTACTGGCCCCCGAGCTCTCCTATACCTTTGTATTGCAGAGGAGCTTCTGCGCACGGAAAACTTTTAACGAGTCAATGGGCAAAGATGTTTGCGTCCTTATGGTGGGAATACGTCACCAATCCGACAAAAAATTTGGATGAAGCTTTACTAGTCATTAAATATGTATTAAATATGTATCTTGCAATCTAAGAAATACATATTAATATATTTTTGAAATATTTTAAATGTTAATTTTAAATTTAATTATAAATATATATATTTTATGTCTTAATCAGGGTCATTGGGTGGGTGGGGCAGCTCCCTAGCGCCCTCTGTTGGCCAGCCGCCACTGCTCAAAGAGCCATATTGGACCAAAAAAATAAAAAACAAATCTTTTTAGAAGAACTGAGCCAAAGTTAAAGACTGTTCCAAACTTAAATTTACTCAAGAAACCATGAATATGTTCAACACTCCCTGCTCTGCAGTTAAAGGGTTTATTTAAAGGTGAAGTGGAGGATTTTTGCAAATTTTTCAAAAGACCCTCCCTCTCCACTAAAAAAATAAAATAAATGCACATACCCAACCCTGTACCCACTCCTGAGAGCAAAGGCCTATTGAACTTGTGAAAGTGTTCATGATCCCATTTCTCCACGTGCACGCTCTGTTTAAAAGTTGCTGTTTGCATCGCTAATACAAGATTACTTTCCAAAAGATTTACTATTTTTCTACTATGTCAGACTCACCACCAGTAAGTGAAAATGGGTACGAGCACGTAGGACGGTATAGGTAAACAAATGACCAGAATGACTGACAATTAGGAGGACCACTTATTGAGATGATCCACCTCTAAAAAGAACATCCTTCCCATACATTTAAAGTCATAGGGAGGCGGCTGTTCCAACTGTTGCATTTCTGAATTCTCCTGAGTGGTGCACGACTTTACACGAGTGACTAAAGTGAATGTGATTGGTTGATTATCAAGGGGGCGGGATTGTTGTGGAGGAAGGTTTGTAAGCAGATTTGATTGTGGCCGGTTTGTCGGAAGCATCTTGCTAACCAGTTAGCAACTTAGTGCTAGTAGGTTCCCAATGGGAAATTCCATTAAAACAGGATTTTTTTTTTTTTTTAATAGAAATTTTCTAACTTTTGGGACAATGTGGTCTGATAAAGAGTACATTTATATACATGTTTAAGCCAGAATGATTTGACATTTAAATATGACTTCCCTACGACTTTAAATATTCCCAATCAGAACATGTTGGAGTCGGCTCTGACTTTAGGGTCGAACCCAGACGTGAACCAACCTCTGAGCAGGTCTGAAACACCTTGGTGTGGAACTCTCTGCCCCGAGCGGATGTCAGCTCCTTCAGGTCGTGTCCCGATGAGAACACCGGACCTTTGGCTAAAACAGAGGCGGCACAGCTTTAGAACCAGCAGCTTCCCGCCTGTGAGTGGTCCAAAACCATCAAGAACCGACCAGATATGATGATGACTCTGAGATCTTTGCTGTCAGCGTCTGCCAGGATGTTCTCTCGGATGGTTTCCAGCATGGCCAGGGACAGAGCGTTCCGCTTCTTAGGGTTGTTTAGAATAATCCTCCTGCAAGAAAGTCAGACATTTTTACCGCTTTACAGAACATCTTTCAAGGTCTTTACATTTTTATGTATAAATCTTTTTTTTTTTTATCTTTAGACTTCTCAGGTATTTAACATAATGATCATGAAACAGACCTCATTAACACCAAGGCCAAGTAGCTCAGATGGACATAACTAATTACCGTACTAACTGAACTTTTGGGGGATTTTTCATTCAAAAAAAAGTTTATTTTAAAAGTATTAATTTTACCTTTATCCCTCATGGGTTGTTTTAACCTTGAACCTTCTGAAAGCAGAGTAAAGATCTAATCCTCTAACCAGGGGTGGATTTAGGAAATTTGGGGCGCTAGACAAAGACAGGCATCTTACTAAGATCAGAGAAGTTGCTGAGAGTTACAGAAGGCAGCTGCTCACCAACCGGGCCCTGAATCGCAGTTAACGAAGCATTTTATACAGCTCCAGTCTGCCACCTCATGACATGCTCTCATTCCATTCCCAAATCTTTTCCAAGTGCAGAATGAAGATGACTTTTTATCTTGACAGAGGAACTGTCCTGATTAGATAAACTACTTGGGGAAAATATTAGTTGTGACACGCAGCAGGCGGGTAATATTAAGGTTTAACAGACTCAAACACCATCAATGGGAAAAATCCTAATATAGTGATGGTTAATGAGGCATCTTGAAGCGTTTGTAAACAATCTGTATTGATACTGCGTTAATAGTGTCTCACAGTACACTGACCCCTGCTGGACATTTAAAGACACTACAGGCAGCTTATTTGACTAAACTGAATTCATTTGATAAAACACAGCATCAGGGCCAGGCTAGATTTTTTTTTCCTTCTATTTCAAGAATAAAGTCATAACATAACAAGAATAAAGTCGTAAAATTACGAGAATAAAGTTGTAATATTACGAGAATAAAGTCACAAAATTACAATAAAGTCATAAAATTCAGAGAATAAAGTAATAAAATTACGAGAAAGTCGTAACATTACGAGAATAAAGTCGTAATATTATGAGAAAAGAATTCCGGAGAATAGTCATAAAATTACGCGAATAAAGTTGTAATATTAAGAGAATAAAGTCGTAAAATTATGAGAATAAAGTTGTAAAATAACCGAAATACGAAAACAAAGTCACAAAATGACAATAAAGTCATAACATTCAGAGAATAAAGTAATAAAAATAAAGTCGTAACATTACTAGCATAAACTGGTAAAATTATGAGAATAAAGTCATAAAATTAAGAGAGCAAAGTCGTAAAATTACGAGAATAAAGTTGCAAAATAACGGAAATAAAGTCGTAAAGTTAGGAGAGTAAAATCATAACATTACGAGAGTAAAGTCGTAATATTACGAGAATAAAGTCATAACACCACATGAATAAAGTCGTAATTTTACGAGAAATAAAGTTGTATTTTATTAAAACTCCTACAAGAAGCACTTTATTCCCTAAAATGAGGAATGTGGAGCATCATGTGAAGTTATACTTTGGCTCCGGTTTGACCAATAAGGAAATCTGTTGGTGAACCAGCGTCAAACTGGTCAGGACGTCACAGTGGACTCTGGTTGCTGATTGGTGGAGCTGGTTGGAGCTCCAAGCTTTCTTTCTGTAACATGTTGTTGTATGATCACTGCATTCTCCTGATATTACAACTTTATTCTCATAATAGAAGAAACATAAATCTCTAGCCTGGCCCTAATAGTCGTAAATAATATAGATAAAGTTTTCTAGAACAAACAGCTGTTTTAGTTGTTTCCAGCGTCTCATGTTTACAGTTGGATCAGGGACCAGGGCCCCGGTTAGACCCGCCTGGGGCCGCATCGACTGGTCTGAAGTCCGTTTGCCTCGGTTCTTCATTTTTGCTGCAGATTTGTTATTTTAATATATAAAAGTTCACTGCTTGATAAATACCATTAGGACCAATAAAACCTCACATTAAACCAGTTTTGTTTGGATTTATTTCTGAATAATAAATGAGTGGTAGCTTTGATGTCCAGAATAAATAAATAAAACAGGGGGACCCAGCCAGGTGTTGGGCTTCGGGGAGCTGCTCTCTGTTTCTACGTGAAGTGACGTGTTTAGAAGCTGCACCTGATTCCGTGGTTCTGTTGCTTCAGTGCCAGCGGTTCCGGTTCGGACTGGGAGTACCACCGAGGAGCGGACAGCAGACATGTTCTGCTGAGCTGAAGGACAGAGACTCCTCTGCACAAAACACTGCGAGCCATGTTTCTGCTGGGGTTCAACTTTCTCCCTTCACTTCCGGGTGGTGACGTATAGTGACGTAGGTGGCTCCGAGTTCCACCT